AGGAAGGGAATGGGCATTGGGATAGAGGTGGGAGAAGTGCTGTCCCTTCCTCTTCTCCTCTAGGCACTCTGTACTCCCCACCACCCCACTAACTCAATCCCTGACTTCCCTTTCACCTCCCTTCAGGTCTGCTCACTTGCCTGGTTCATCTCTGAACCATCAGTAGTAAGAGCAGCAACTGCGGGGGTAGGGGTTAGGTAGAGGGAGCTAACGTGCTTGTTTCCCAGAATTAGGGGTGGGGGTAGGTGGTTGAGAGGGGAGAACAAGAGAAGTCAATTTCCCAGAATCCTCTGCAATGTTACCCAGGATTCTCTAGGGGAAAATAAGAATGGCCAATTACCCACAGTTGGGGCGGGGGTAGGGGTACGTGATGGAAATAGCTAGTTACCCAGAATTCTCGGGGGGAACCAGAGAAATCAATTACCCATAATTCTCCCCCGGCGGCGGGGAGGGGAGGGATTAGGGAAGGGGTCAGATGTGTTCCCGGGATGCTTACGGGGATTGGGTCATTACCAAGATTTCTCCATGGCGGATATTTTGGAGCGCGCGGAATTAAACGAGTAGGGGGGAGAACAAGCGCCGTCAGCTCCGCGGGAAATTCCAGTTTCCCCAATTCTCCCCCGCGCCTCTGGTTCAACCAAACTCTACGACGGAAAAGACGGCGCACTCCCAGTCGTCGCTTCCAATCAGGAAGGGCTAGGGGCTCACCTCAGCCAATCGGAAGGAGCCAGGTACAGCCGGCCCCGCGAGAAGACGTGTGACACGGGAGCTGAGCAAAAGCAAGAGCTACGGGGCGCGGGTAGGGACACACGTAGTCAGACATTGTCCCTGTTTGCTGCGTTAGAAAGTAACCTCTTCTCTTTTAAGCCTTCTTTAAACAAAATTAGAGAGCCCCAGGCTTGCAGATCGAACTTTCATGCTCCCTATAGCTTTAGAAACTAGAATAAGGGGCGCCCAAGGCAAAGCATTGGGAATCGATTGCTGGGTATTCCCAGTATGGCCCAGTCCACCCCCTCTTCCCGTGGTGCTCTTGTGAGCACTCCGCCACCTCCGACCCTGTTACCCCCGAAACTCGCTGGCATTTCCTATCATTTCCAGGCATGGGAGAGAAAAAAGGAAGCGGGAGGCAGCCTCCTAACACGGCCCAAGTAGCTGTATCTTCTATGATTCTAAAGGCAACCGTCTGAAACTCCCATCTGTGATTGTTCCCTCCCCAGAGGCGCCGGTAATATTTCCAGGGAACAGGACTCCTCAGCTATCAAATTCCCCTAGCTCGTGGAGCTGGACATTATTCCTCAGAGGGACAGGGCATAGCAAATTGAGACATTTGCCTTCCCCAAACTCTTACAGATTTAGCGTCAGCACTTAGGGATTCTTGGGGTCCAACTCTGAGCTTGAACTGCTTTGGAATAGATCCAGGTTGTTAGATGTCTGTGGGGTATTTTAGCTCAGTTTCTAAAGGCCACATAGAGGGCCTCTGGTGGAAGGAATTCCTCATAGAGGATACAGTTTTAAAGCATTTCTCTCTCTCAATGAAGACTGGTAAATAGACCTTCATAAAAGAACCCAAGAATTTAGTTTTCCAGGACTCAGAGGGGTTCTAGACTTGTCAGAGGTCATTGATGGAGAGAAAAACACCTTAACTCAGAGGGTCTCTCAAACTGATCTGACTTCAGAGGTCCCTAGATTTAAAATCCTGTAAGAAGATGGGTGCTGAGAGACAGGGACAGTACCTACCCTTGAGAAATTTCCATATTGAGGTCTCTAAGAAAGGCTCAACAGTAAGAATTAAAGGGTCTGAGATGCCAGAGATACCTGGGCTAAATGAGCTACTTTATTAAGATGCTTAGTGTTGCCTCAGTGTCCAATATAATGGAATGACTGAGAATGCAGGATCTGGAGTCTGCACTGTAATTCTGGCCACTTAATAGTGATCTTAGGCAAATTACTTATCTCTGCACCTCAGTTTCCTCATCTGTAATATGGTGATAACGATAGTACCTATCTAATTGTGTTGTTGTGAGAATTAAATGGGTTAATATATGAAAAGTGCTTAAACTAAGTACTTGGCATAAAGTGAGAGTTGGATATAAGCCATCATTACTAACCACCTCGGGAAACTTCAACTGGATTTGGCGTCTGGGCATCCAACTGGAAAGGCCTGCTTGTCAGTATAATTTGCATTAACGGTTGAGGTCCTGCTGACGTCAAGGTCTCCTTGCAGCTCCAGGTCAGACCTAGTCCTGGAAGTAGTTCCTGTCACACAACAGTCCCACAATCGCCCCACCAACCTTGCTTCCTACCCAACTCCCGGAGCACCAGGAAGTGAAACAAAGCCCCATGCCTCCAACTCACCCTTGTCCCTCTCATCCCATCCCCCAGCGTTCCACTTCCTCCTCCTGCCTTTCACCTTCCATCTCCTATCCTAAAGGGCTCCCAGAATGGGAACCAGAGGCGGGAAAAGCATGGGAGACTTTATACAAAAGTGAGGTGAGCTCCCCTACCCCCACCCCCACCCCCAATTTCCTTATTTCATTTGTATTCACCAGTGTAACGAGAGGCAAACCGTTTCTCACTCAAACTGAGGTAACCTCTCTGATGCTGCAAATGTTTTATCCAAAGGGTGGATTTACCGCAGAGTCATATTCGAATCAGAGGTTTCATTGGGCAGTTTTGAATAGTCCTATGAGAAGGGAGACCTCTATTGAGGGTGTTTCTCAGAGAAAAAGGGTCAACCTCTTGGAAAGCCTTTGGGAGCCATCTGTGTGGTCATCCATGGCCTCATTCTGACGTCCAGATTGTCCTGGGACCCTCCACTGGGGTTGGGGCAGTCCCAGATTTGGACCACCTTCCACTCCCACGCCCAGCTTCACAGTCTCAGCTGTTTCACTGAATGTTGCATCAGGGATGGTGATGAAATCAGTGTCAGCGGATTTTACCCATGGATGCAACAGGCTGAAGGACCAGCCAGGGTCATTGACACTGTGCACCTTCAACTAGCCAGAACCCTGGACTTTCTAGCCACGGTGAAGGGCTGGGTGCTGGAATATCTCAGTTGGATTTCTAGCCCTTGCTTACACTGGTGCCCCCCACCCCCAAATCACCTGAATCCCACAGTGCCCAAGAAACTTAGGCCACTAAGGTTGAGGAATCGGATGGTTCTTAGCAACAGCTCTTTCCTTCCAACAGCCCTCCTAGCCTCCAGAGTGAGGCCTGAAGTGAGGGAGCAATAATACCTTATACCGAGCTTATGTGGTTTCCCAGTTCACAAAGTGCCTTCATGTCCATTGTCTCCCAGTGAAAATAACCGTTCTCAACAGAGACTAAGAAGCCCCCTTATTCTTAGATTGAGGGCATCAGGTGGGAACCAAACTTCATTCCAAACTGAGCTTGCCATCCTATTGGGAGATAAATGAATGCTTCTGTTTTGATTTTTACTCAGGCAGGCAGGGGTGAGGAAATTAGGTTTGAAGGGAGGGAAGATATAGCTTAGAGAGGCAAAAAGATGAGGGAAAGGTTAAGCAGGAAGGAACTTGAGACTAGATTCATTTAAATATTCGTTAGTCCCACTCACTCCACCCCCTTCTACAGCCTCTTTGATTCCTGGAGAGCATTACACGTTAAGTCCCATCCCAGGCCTCCAGTCACGGCAACCACACGACTCATTTCCCCTGGAACTGAGGCTACTTACCTGGGCTCCCCACGGAGGGAGATGATGCAGGGAGGGGAATCCCACCTGCTGTGAGTCACCTGCTAGTATAAAGGGCGGGTCTTACAATGCAGGGAGCTTAAAAAGAGACTCAGAGACAAGGGGAGAAAATCTACAGAAAGCAGCTCAGAAACTTGGTGAACGACAGAGGGAACCAAACCAGAGACGCACAGGACAAAGAGAATCAGGCTCAGAGCAAGGGGAAGTGGACAGAGATTCCACAGGGACTGCAAGGCACAGAGCCAGCCAGATCTGAGAACCAGGCAACGAGATGCTGGGGAGCAGAGCTGTGCTGCTGCTGCTGCTGCTGCCCTGGATTGCTCGGGGCCGGGCTGCGCCTGAGGGCAGCAGCCCTGCTTGGGTTCGGGGCCAGCAGCTCTCACAGCAGCTCTGCATGCTGGCCTGGAGTGCACATCAACCAATGGGACATGTGGTGAGTGGCAGCCTCTGGGACCAAACAGGAGCCTATCCAAGCCCTCCAAGGCTGCAGTGGAAGACTCTGTGGCCTAGGGTGGAAGCTGGAGGGTTGAAAGCCATCAGAGGGTAAGAGAGGACAGGGGAGTGGGGTTCCAGGGAGAGTCACAGCCTGAGGACCCAGGTGGGGTTTGAAAGCACTTCTTTCTTTACTCTTCCCACCCCTCCTCCATTCCAGGACCTACCAAGAGAAGAAGATGATGAGACTACAAACCCTGTCCCCCATATACAGTGTGAGGATGGCTGTGATCCACAGGGACTCAGGGACAACAGTCAGGTACTAAGATGAGGCTGGGCTGCAAGGAAGAGGGGACTGGGGACAGAGCTGGACACCATGGTGAATTAGTCAAAGCTGTATCTGTCCTTGTCCATTCAGCCTGCTATAACAGCAAACCATAGACTCAGTGGTTTATAAACAACAGACATTTACTTTTTATTTTAAAAAATAAATTTATTTTTAAATTTTTTATTTATTTTTGGCTGCGTTGGGTCTTTGTGGCTGCGTGTGGGCTTTCTCTAGTTGCGGTGAGCGGGGGCTACTCTTCGTTGCAGTGTGAGGGCTCTATTGCAGTGGCTTCTCTTGCTGCGGAGTATGGGCTCTAGGCGCGTGGGCTTCAGTAGTCGTGGCACACGGGCTTAGCTGCTCCGCGGCACGTGGGATCCTCCTGGACCAGGGCTTGAACCCGTGTCCCCTGCTATTGGCAGGCAGATTCTTAACCACTGTGCCACCAAGGAAGCCCACAACAGACATTTATTTCTCACAGTTCTGGAGGCTGGAAGTCCGAGATTAAGGTGCCAGCATGGTTGAGTGAGGTCCCTCTTCAGGTTGCAGACTTCTTGTCTCCTCACATTGTGGAATTGATTAAGGAGTTCTGTGGGTCTCCTTTATAAGAGCAATAATCCCATTCTTGAGGGCTCCATCCTCATGACCTAATAACCTCCCAAGGGTCCCACTTCCTAATACAGTCACACGGGGATCAGGATATCAAAATATGAATTTTCTGGGGACACAAACATTCGTATCACAGCCGTTTCTAAGAATGGCAAGTATCAGATGGGTCTTTGGTGGAGTAATTAGAAGGTATCTGTCTTTTCTTTTTCTTTTCCTTTACTTTCTCTTTTCTTTCCTTCCTTCCTTCTTCTCACTCTTTGCTTTCCCCTTTTTTTCTTTCCTTCCTTCCTTTTTTCTTTTTCTTTCTTCCTCTCCCTCTTTTTTTGTTTTTGATGTTCTTTTTGGCTGCACTGAGTGGCATGCGGGATCTTAGTTCCCCAACCCGGGATCAAACCCATGCCCCCTACAGTGGAAGCACGGAGTCTTAACCACTGGACCACCAGGGAAGTCCCTGTATCTGTTTTCTTTCACTGCTTTCTTTTCTCCCCAGTCCTGCTTGCAAAGGATCCACCAAGGCTTGGTTTTTTACGAGAAGCTGCTGGGCTCAGATATTTTCACAGGGGAGCCTTCTCTAGTCCTCGATGGCCCTGTGGGCCAGCTTCATGCCTCCCTACTGGGCCTCAGGGAACTCTTGCAGGTATGAACTAGGGGCCTGGAGAAGTGGGGCTTGCAGGTGTCAGAGACAGGGCCTGGCGGGAGAGTGAAGGATCTAGAGTCCTCTCTGATTGTGTCCTGTGTCCTTTCAGCCCGAGGGTCACCACTGGGAGATTGAGCAGACTCCAAGTCCCAGTCCCAGCCAGCCGTGGCAGCGCCTCCTTCTCCGCCTCAAGATCCTTCGCAGCCTCCAGGCCTTTGTGGCTGTAGCTGCCAGGGTCTTTGCCCATGGAGCAGCAACTCTGAGCCCCTAAGCCAGCAGCTTAAGGATGGCACCCAGACCTCCACGGCTCAGCAATGCTAAGATGAATTTATCAGCCTAGACACCTGTGAGCCAACAAGTTAATCAGTCCATTCATTTTAACAGGACTTGCTCTGTTGAAAAATTACCAAAACTGACTTATGATGCTGACCTAGAACAGGTTGGATATTTATTACACGGGAAGGGAAATTTTGGGATTATTTATCGTCGTGGCAGCAGTTTGGGGAGGAGGATTATTTATTATATTTATACTGAATTATGCACTTTTTTCAATAAAGACTTATTTATGTGGATATCTAAGTCTAATTTCTAGGCTTGTTAGTAAAAAGAAACAGAACGTAAAAACAGGGCCAAAGGACTACAAAATGCATCCTTCTACTCTGCAGGGCTATGGTGGAGAGGGATCTTTCCTCATGACCCCTTGGTATATAGAGTAACTGTGATCTTTTTGGCCTTAATCCGTACATGGCTAAGCAAGCTGAATGAGATTACAAGGGACTGTGATTAGGAAGTGGGGGTCCTAAGTGTGGCCCTCTTTTGCTCCCTGACCCAGGGCTTCCTTCCCTGCTTTCCTGGCCGAGACTGTATTTGGCCAAAGACAGGAGTTCTGAATCACTGCAGGATCAGAAGTCAGAGCCGTTTTGAGCAGAAAGGGCACTCCAGGAAGATGAAGTAGGCACCAGGTTAGTCTTATCAGCTACTAAAATGTTGAAAGCCTTCCATATTGGAAAGAAGCCACTGCCCTGAGCCCTCCAAGTACCTCCTAACTGTTCTGGCCTGCTCTCAAATTCCTATACCTCCCAGCACAGCAGGCAGCCTCCAGGCTCCTAGCTGGAGCTATGGGTAACATCTGTTCTGATTCATTGGTGACTGTTCCTTACCCGTATTGTGCTTCTACCTCTCACTCCAAATCCCACGGTTAACCCAGTTTAGAAGGAGCACATGCCTGATTTCCCATCCTTGGAGAGCAACATCATGATGTGAGAGGTAGGAGGGGCAAAATATATGGAAAGAACAGAGAAAATGTAGTTTCTAGTAGTCAGAAGGAATCAAGGGCCCATCTGTGTAGAAATGGCTGCGAGGGAAGACGTAAGCTTCATCCATGGTGTTCTGGCCAGCCAACAGTGGGTCACCATTTGGCATGATTTCTTCAATCTTCATGCTGTTTCTGAAGACTAGATAGTCCAGAGAAAGAAGTCAGGCCCTGATCTTAGGCAAGGAGTTCCCAAAGCAGCAGGGAAAGTGAGAGAGGATGGCAGCAGAGGCCTAGACAGGGCCTGAGGGGGTCACTTAGGTGGGGCGGGGGAGGCGTGTGTGTATTTCCTAATAAAAGGAATCACAGGGATATAAGCCTTTCTCCAATGAGGAGCTCAGAACTGTCTTTTTCTGTAGTGGGTGAGGGAGGGGAGTTGGGAAAGGGAATGTGTCCCCTCTTCCCTAGCCCCATCTCATCACTTACTTTCCATGTCCTCAGTGTTCAAGTGTCTCAGATCATGGGGCAAATCCGGCTCTGGCAGTGGCTGTGAAATAGGCTCTGGAATAGGCTCCAGCTTCAGTCCTGGTCCCAGGTCTGGCTCTGGGACTCTCTGTGACACCTCGCCTAGTGTGGGCTCCAGCACGGGCTCCAGAGTGGACTCCAGTGTGGGCTCCAGAGTGGACTCCAGCACAGGCTCCAGAGTGGACTCCAGCACAGACTCCAGAGTGGACTCCAGCACAGGCTCCAGAGTGGACTCCAGCACGGGCTCCAGAGTAGACTCCATCACGGGCTCCAGAGTGGGCTCCAGAGTGGACTCCAGTGCTGGCCCCAAATCCAGCCCTGCCTCCAGCAGTGGCTCTAAGTCCAGGCCCGGCCCTGGCTCTGGCCCTGGTGCCAGCCCCAGATCCAGCTCGAATGACTCCAGTTCTGGCTCTAGCTTAAGCTCCGGCAGTTGTTGCAGCTCATCCACCTGTCTGGATACCCCAATACAGACAAAGGAGCAGGGATCAGTCGTTTAGGTAAAGTGGGGAATGGTAGAGAAAGCAGAGGCTATCTCTCTAGTCTAAAAGGCAATAGAGCAGAGGGCTTAAGGTTAACCAGAGGTTTAAATCCTATCATTTACTAGTTGGGTGACCTTAGGCAAAGTGACCTAACCTCTCTGAGCCTCAGATTTATCATCTGTAAAAAGGGAACAACAATACCTCATAATACTTGAGAGGCAGTAAGATGGTTAAAAGCACGGCTTTGGAATTTGACAGACCTGGATCACTGATTAGCCATGTATCTTAGGCATGCCACTTCACCACGCTAAACCTCAGGTTCCTCAGCTGAAAACACTAATAACAGTATCTTCTGCCTCATAGGACAATTATGAAGATTCAATAAATGAGAAAATGAACACAAAGCATTTAGCCCAGTGCCTGGAACATAATAAACTTTCATTAAATGTGGCTGTTATCATTCATTACTGGCTCAAATGGGTTCTCATAAGGATTAAATTTTAAAAATGTTCTAAAAAAATCTAGTACCATGCTTGGCATTAAGTAGATGTCCATTAACATCAATGATTATGACTATTATTATCAGGGAACCCCTGTGGAGACAACCTAAGGATGGCAGCAGGAAAAGAGAGAGGAGAGAGACTAAAAGAGCAGGAAACAAACCTAGAAGGCTAGGGAGTGTGGGTCAGTAGGAAAGAAGGCTGGAGAGACCGGCATTGGGCAGGTTTGGGTCACTATATCAGCCAAAAAGAGTTAGGGAAGATGGGCAAAGAGTTCACATCTCACCTGTTAGAGACCACAATGAGCTTATGTTTCAGGTATTTCTTCCGTTCCTGGAGATTAACTATGGGGGACAGACACAGGAGGCAGGGGAGGTCAGGAGATTGGACACATAGCCCCAGGGTCCCCTAGTGCAGGTGGTCCTGACAGTCATGTCCCCCTACTAACTAGCAGTGTCCCACAGACAAAGCCCTTAACTTCTCTGGATATCAGTTTTCCCACGCTGAAAGGAAAGAGTTGGATTTGTGGATGCCTGTGGATCCTTGCACTCTACCAGTGAAGTGTATCAATGCTTCTCACCTTTCTCCTGGGAATAGCACCCAAAAGCCTCATCCCGGGGGATTCGTGGGTAGAGGAAGCACAGTGGGTTCTCAGGTATGTTCTCCTCAGTGAGCAGCTGGTACTGGCTGATGATTTTGGCCAGCGGGAGTGACTGCAGCACCTCCTTGGTGAAGGGCTGCACAGAGTAGATGAGCACCTTATCTGGAGAGTGGATGCAGGAACAGGCAGGCTTGAGGGAAGAGGCTGGGCCTGGGAGCTCCCCACCCTGGCTGCCCAACCACAAATCTGCTGAGGGATTCAGGACAGAGCCAGGGAAGCCAAGGGCAGGCAGAGGGGCAGCAAGAGAGGCTGTGGAAACAGGAGGGCAGGGCAGCTGACCATCATCTTGGTGTTCCACCCAGGAGCAGGTAATGCCCCCTTCCAATGTTTCACTGAAGCGCAGCAGAAAGGTGCCAGAGATGGTCTTCTTCAGCAGCCGGCGCTCCTGGCTCCGGCTTACAAAGCCCATGATGTGTCTGCAGCACAGAGAGCAGCTGTGAGGCCCTCCTGCCTCCTGCTCCCCTTGTAGAGGGACAGACTGCCAGGTCTGGGCCCTGGCTCTGCCACCTTGTTACAAACTGTTCCATGTTGGCCAAGTCATTTCACTTTACTGACAATATCCACCTCCCAGGGTTGGAAGAGGTGTGAAGCTGCGGTGAGGTCACACAGATGAAAAGCACCTTGTAAAAGGCAAAGTGCTACACAAATGGGCAGGCAGTGTGGTGGAAAGAGCATAGGCGTGAGGTCAGGCATCGGTTTGAATCTCAACTCTGCCCCTGGTGTAAGTCCTTTAACCTCTCTGAGCTTTCATTTCCTCCCTTGAGGGTGGCAACACCCATCGCCCAGCAAGGTTATAAGGATTACGTGAGAGAATTCATAAAAAGCACCCCGCAGGCTCTGGAACACAGTGGATGCTAGACAAATACGGGCTAGGAGACTATTACTGCAAACGTTGAGGGGGTATGACCTGGCACCGGGTTCTGCTCTCTCCCCCTATTTGCCACATGAGGGAGCAGAGAGTCCACTCTCAAGCAGAGAAAGGCGGCAGGGAAGAAAGGGAGGCTGACCAAGGCCTTACCCATCGTTCCAGAGATCCTTCAGGTGGTCATGTACCAGGTCCAGAATTTTGTCGAGCCATGTCCAGAATGGTAGCTTGCCAGGGGGGCTCTCTCGCTGAAGGAGGAATGGAAAGGCAGGAAGAGATGTGGAACTGCCCTGGGTGTGGGGAAGGACTAGTAATTGGATGGGGGCCGAGGTCAAGCTGCACAGGACGCAGAGAGTTACCTTAATGAAATTGACCCAGGACAACAAGGCACCCTCAGTCTTGGAGTTCTGCCCTGTGGGCAGACAGACAGTTCAGATGACAGAAGGCAGGGCCAAGGGTCCTGGGACAGAAAGGATGGAGGGTGCGGGCAGACAAAGGCTGGGGAAATGCTGAGAGAAAAGAAGGTCTGTACCAAACAGCTTGTCCCGCAGCATGCCAAGCTGGTCTGAGTCGAGGCCTCGGCCAACGTAGGAGGAGAACTGCCAACTGAGAGCAGGGCCCAGCAAGTCCCAGGGGGCCTTGGCGGGGCTGGAGAAGAACTGCTGATTCTGCAGAGGTAGGAAGGGACCGGGTGGCTCAGAAGTAGTGCCCTCACACCAAGCTTCCACGCCCCTCCTTGCCACCCTTCACCTGTTGGCCCCCACCGCCTACCTGGGGGTCTGAGCTGAGCAGATTGAACCAGAGAACCGAGGCCCAGGCGATTGAGAGTTGGTTCATGTTAGAAATAATCACCACAGGAAGGGTGTCTGTCTGGGGAGGAGACAGAAATCACAGAAGAGGGATGTGATGTTTCCAGCTGCAGACATCTGGTAAGGGCCAGACAATATTCCACCCTGAGAGGCTTCTGCTTAACCCCTCCTTAGGTCTTCCCCCAAACGCACTCCATTTTCACTCACTTTCAGTTCCTGCTTCAGACCCTGGTAGGTGTATCTGACTGTGAAGCTGATAATGTGCAGTTCCTCTGTCACGGCTAGCAGCCCCTGGGACAGCAGAAGACAAAGTGATCAGCGTGCCTTTTGTTAAGTTCCTCCTGCCCCCCAACCCCCTGTCCAGGCCTCACCTTATTGCTGCCCTTTCCTGAACTACCTGAACGCTGCTCCATCAGTGTCTGTGAATTGAGGGGAGGGAGAGAGAATGCCAGAGCAAGGACCCCAGGGTCCCTGGAACCCCTGCTTTGCCCTCAGGACTTCCCAAGGCCTGGGAACTTCCTCCAGCTTGTTCGATTGGACTACAACCTTAAGATACCATCCCTTCTTACCAGGTAGCCGAAGTCCCAAATTAAGCCCTGACTCTGCCCTTTCTCAGGAGTCAAAGTTTTCTGGTTTGAGGTCAGAATGTTGAACTTCCGGAAGCTATTCCAAGGAGGAAGAAGATATATGCAGGTCAGGAGCAGAGTTATTCTAAAAACTCAGCAGGAAAATAACAAAAGTTCCACTTCACTTCAGACCTCCCCTTCTCCCTCTGTCCATACACCACCCAAATCAACCTCCTCCTTGTTTGTGTCCCCATCAGGGCTGCCACATGTGATGGTACAGGTCATGCAGTGCACAAAAGTTTGCAGTGTCCTTGTCAGGCACCTACCCTTGTGATTCAGGAGGATTTCTGTAAAGAAAAAAAAAAATCACTGGGAAGCAAAATAGTGTAGAAGTTAGGAGTTTGGTCTGTGGAATCAGACAGACCCGGGTTCAAACCCAAATCTGCAGCTCACCAGCTATGGGGCCTTGCACTAGAGACATAAGTTATCTGAACTTGTTTCCTCATTTGAATAGTGCATTGATAATACCTAACTCATGGGGTTCCTGTGACAATTTTATTTTATTTATTTTTATTATTATTATTATTTTTTGCAGTACGCGGGCCTCTCACTGTTGTGGCCTCTCCCGTTGCGGAGCACAGGCTCCAGACGCGCAGGCTCAGCGGCCACGGCTCACGGGCCCAGCCGCTCCATGGCATGTGGGATCTTCCCGGACCGGGGCACGAACCCGTGTCCCCTGCATCGGCAGGCGGACTCTCAACCACTGTGCCACCAGGGAAGCCCCCTGTGACAACTTTAAATTGGGTACTTGACAAGCTACATGTCACATAGTAAGCACTCAACAAAAGAGATGAGCTATTTCTATGACGTAGGGATGGAAGGGAAAAGAACACAGCCCCAGGGCCCTGTTGTAAAGAGTAGGTGCCTCCTCCACCCCACCACCCCACTTCCTGGCCACCCCTTGGTCCCACCCTTCACCTGCCCCAACTTACCTGTCAATGGAGACTTCTGCAGTCAGTGACTCATTGCCTTCCTGGAGTCTCACCAGCAGCCTGCAAGGGAGGGAGGGAGATGGGGGAAAGTGGTCAACTTCAATCTCCTGGATAGACCAGATGTTTGAAAAAAACAAGGGAAGAGATTAGAAGAGGTAAGGAGATTGAGGGGAAAAGAGAGAAGAAACAGCCAAGAGTGGGAAGATTTGTAAAACCAGAAAGCATCAGTGCCAGGGCTGGTAAAAGGAAGTAGGAATGAGTTCTGAAATGCCAACCTTGTTCGGACGGTGAACTTGCTCCCAGTCTTGAGGATGAGGGGTCGATGGGGAGTTTGGGGCATGCAGGGCTGGGTTTCTACTACAAAGGCTCTGGGGAGATGTGGAGAGAATATATAGAGGTCAGTATCTGTAAGAATGGCTCCCCTTGTCCCTTCCCTCTTGCCTCCCTCGAGGTCCCTCCCTGGCCTCTAGACCTGTGGAGCAGGCGAAGTAGCAGCTCTGTGACCTGGGCCTTCCGCAGATCCACCCCTTCGATCAGAGGGTCCCCCTGATAGGTGACCATGTGACTCAATCCCTTTAGCTCCTTCAGCAGCTGCCGCAGATGAAACAACAGCTTTGCTCCAGCTGTGAACCTGGGTGACAGAATCCAAGGGAGAAAGAATCCATCAGTTTCCTGGAATCCCCAAACAGGCTCCAAGAGCTCCCCTTTAACTCTGTGGAAAGTCAGAAACTGATTGGGACAAAAAATAATCCAGGAAGCATGTGAAAGATGTTTCAACTTTGTTCATAACCTAAGGAATGAATATCAAAGCCGCTTTCACATATAAAATTGATAAAAGATTTATTAACATAATAAAGCTAACTTTCACATGATGCTTGATATGTACTTTTTTTTTTTTTTTTTTTTTTTTGCGATACCCAGGCCTCTCACTGTTGTGGCCTCTCCCGTTGCAGAGCACAGGCTCCGGACGCGCAGGCTCAGCGGCCATGGCTCACGGGCCCAGCCGCTCCACAGCATGTGGGATCCTCCCAGACCGGGGCACGAACCCGTGTCCCCTGCATCGGCAGGCGGCAGGAGGATGCTCAACCACTGCGCCACCAGGGAAGCCCTGATATGTACTTTTTATTCTAAGTGCTTCACACATCTTCATGCATAGGGTTAATTCTTACAACAACCCTATGAGGTAGGTACTATTATTATCCCTATTTTACAGATGGTAAAGCTGAGGCACAGAAAGATTAAAGTGACTTGCTCAAGGTCATAAAACTAGTAAGGGATGAAGTTGTACGTGTTTTACTGTCTATATAATAAGAAATAATAATAATAGGCAATATGGTAACAGGAAAACAATTATCCACTACATAAGAACAAACAGATTGGGATAGCAGTTTGGAACTATTTTTTTAAAAAGCTTCAGGGTACTTCCCTGGTGGTCCAGTGGTTAAGACTCCACACTTCCAATGCAAGGGGCGCGGGTTCAATCCCTAGTCAGGGAACTAAGATCCCACATGCTGCGTGGTGTGGCCAAAAAATATATAAAAAATAAAAAGCTTCAAAAAATGTATATACATTTTGCAGTATTCCATTTCTAAGATATATCCTAAGGAAATAATCAGACAAACAAATGGACAAAGACAGATGTTCACAGTTCATAGCTTTGTTTTCTGTAATAGAAAAATTAGAAACAATTGGTATTGGGTATATAAATTATGGCATATTGACATCATGGAATACTATGCAACCATTAAAAATAATGATATAGACACAAATTTTTAACAAGAAAAAATTTTCAAAAACATTAAATTATAAAAATTACAAGATAGTATATATATGATATAATCTGAGTTCTGTTTAAAATAGATGTATATTTGTGAATATGCACAGGGAAAATCTGGAAAAATGTATTCAAAAGCATTAACAGGGGACTTCCCTGGTGGTCCAATGGTTAAGACTTCACCTTCCAATGCAGGGGGTGTGGGTTCGATCCCTGGTCGGGGAGCTAAGATCCCACATGCCTCACGGCCAAAAAACCAAAACATAAAACAGAAGCAATATTGTAACAAATTCAATAAAGACTTTAAAAATGGTCCACATCAAAAAATTTTTTTAAAAAAGCATTAACAGTGGTTACCTCTGAATGATCAGATTATGCACATGGGTAATTTTTACTTTTTTTCTCTTAAGTTTTCTGAAATTTTTCCAATTAGTATATTTTATATTTACAATCAGAAAAAGAAATACAGCTCTTTGTATTAAAAACAATGAAACAAAAGAACAACACAGTAACAGCACCACCACCAAGAAAAGGTATTGGGTTGGCCAAAAAGTTCGTTCAGTTTTAAGTAAAAACAAAAAACACATTTTTCATTTTCACCAAGAATTTTATCGAACAATGCATTCACTAACCGAGCGAACTTTTTGGCCAATCCAATATATACTTTAACCCAGGAATATCACTTCTGATAACTTACATTATAGAAATAATTGGAGATGTAAATAAAGATGGAGCTATGAGGTTATTTACTGCAGCACTGTTTAAAATAGCGAGAAATCACTCACAGGCCATAATTTGCCAACCCCTGTACAAAATGATGAATACATGTGCAACTGTAATGTAAATACTTATCCTGTACCCTAAGCCCTATATAATTGTTTTCAATTTATCTGAACAGTGGTATATTTTTATTTTTTATATTAAATTTTATTGGAGAATAGTTGCTTTACAATTTTGTGTTACTTTCTGCTGTACAGCAAAGTGAATCAGCTACATGTATACATATATTCCCTCTTTTTTGGATTTCCTTTCCATTTAGGTCACCACAGAGCACTGAGTAGAGTTCCCTGTTCTATACAGTAGGTTCTCATTAGTTATCTATTTTATACATAGTATCAATAGTGTATATATGTCAATCCCAGTCTCCCAGTTCATTCCACAGGTGCCCCCCCATGGTATATTTTTAATAGTTTAAATTATAATAAATTTTCTCATGACAAAATATCTAAATAATAGGTATTTTTCAAATATGTTGAAGGACACATTAGTTATTTTTTTCTACATCACAATAAAATTAATATAAAATAAGGAGTTTACTGGAAAACAAATAAAGAAATTTGTTTAGGGCTTCCCTGGTGCCGCAGTGGTTAAGAATCCGCCTGCCAATGCAGGGGACACAGGTTCAAGCCCTGGTCCGGGAAGATCCCACATGTCGCGGAGCAACCAAGCCTGTGCGCCACAACTACTGAGCCTGCGTTCTAGAGCCCAAGAGCCACAACTACTGAGCCCACGTGCCACAACTACTGAAGCCCGCGCGCCTAGAGCCCGTGCTCCGCAACAAGAGAAGCCACCGCAATGAGAAGCCTGTGCACCGCAATGAAGAGTAGCCTCCGCTCACCGCAACTAGAGAAAGCCTGCGCACAGCAACGAAGACCCAATACAGCCAAAAAAAGAAAAAAAAAAAGTATCATGCGTAGGGACTTCCATGATGGTCCAGTGCTTAAGACTCCACCCTTCCACTGTAGGGGGTGCGGGTTTGATCCCTAGTTGGGGAACGATCCCACATCCCATATGCTGTGTGGCATGGCCAAAAGATGCAAAAAATAAAAGTATCATGGGCATGGGTAAATATGATATACTGCTAAGTTAAAAAAAACAAACAAACCCACAGGTCTCAAAATAGTATGAACAGTATGATCCAATTTTTGTTTAATAATATTATAGTAGCTACATCCGGATATTAAGGTAACTGGTAATTTTTTTTTTTTTGGCATTATATTCACTGCACTAAAAAAAAGGTAAAACAATATTTCTCGGGTGATTAAGCAGGAAGGAGATATCGGATTGTGGATCAATTCATTACTTTCCCCAAAGCAAATATTGGGCTCTGGGCTCCCTGAGTGGTGAGAATGAAGAGCAGAGCATAGCTGCAGTCAGACAAGGGAGCTGGGATCATTCTGGGGAGCAGAGATTAAGGAGGGCAATATCTCTTGTCATATACAGGGCATTATAACCTACAAAGCACAGGGGGTAGTTAGGACTAGGGCCAGGTGAGCACGAGGGTGGGGAGGTGCCTCTCACCACTTCTCCAACTGCTCCAACCCTCCATCCGGGGGACCTCCAATGCAGGCTTTCTGCTGCTGAACTTTCCACTCCTCCAACTTGGGCAGCAGTAGCTCAATTAGGGTAGTTAATCGGCCTAGCAGTGCTTTGGAGGCATCTAGCACCTCCTATGAAAGACATAAAGTGAGTGCTGAGAGCCTCTCACCATCACCCTCCACCATTCAACCAGGGATGAAGAGACAAAGAAGCCAAGGCTAGGAGGCCAGGGCTCCCGATGCCTCATTTTCCCCAGTTCCCTGCTGCCCACTCCCTCTGTCCTCTGCCACCCACCTTTCTCCTTCTGTCCAGTTCATTGAGCGTTTCCTGCAGAATGTCCTGCTGTCTGGTCTGATGGGGGTCCAAAGAGGGTGTCCTTGCTGGACAGCAGGAGCAGGAGTGAGACAAATGCTCAGACCTAGGGCTCCTCCCCTTCTCCTTCCCAGCCCAGACCTCAGCCAGAGTCAGGAGTGGGGAGTTCTGAAGGGAGAAGAAGGGGAACCAACCAAAGCACAGGCACCTCTGGGCCCTCATGCAAATTCTGAATGGTCTTGCTAGAACCAGAAGCCCACTCAGTCTGCTAAGGCAGTTTCCCAAGCATCCCCTCCAACATTCACTAGCTGTCCCTCAGCCACACCTCCAGCCTGACCTCTACAACATACCCTGGCACCTCCAGCTTTGCAATGGCAGCAGGACTGTAACCAGCAAGATGCAGCCAAAGGTGATTATTGCTTACTGGGGCTTTCCCCTTCTGCTCTATTCTACCCTTGGCCTCCCAGTAGGCATCTTTCTCCCACCCCTCAATGTGCTTTCTACCTGAGGTCTGGATCTTATATCGGAAGCAGAAGACATCCTGCTGGTCTTTCAGTTGGCTGATGGATTTCACCAGCTTCTGCAGAGGAGATGAGACCCTGATGAGGCTGCTTCTGTGAGAGGAGGCAGGCTGAGTCCTGCCCACCCTGGCTCTTGCCACATCTACCAACCTCCATCATAGCCTTTAATTCCAGGATCCGGGATTCAATCTCATGCTGCTGGCTCTCCCCAGGTGCTGCAAGGGCTGGTTCTCCTTGCTCCTGAAATAAGAGGCTCTGAGCACATTTCAACTCTGACCTTTCATCCCTGAAATCCAGGCCTGAAATGAAACCACAGGATGTGGAGGGATCTTGTTCTGAGGCAAATTTGCTGAGTCCTTTGCAGGATCCCTCTCTACTCCAGGAGCTTTCAACATCACCACCAAATTGTTCTCACCAACTGAGCCCTCTGAGCCTGGGTCAGAATTCTTTTTTCTTCCAGAAGGAGATTAAAGATCATCTCAGCCAATTGGGTAGCACCCTGGGGAAAGGCCTGCAGTAGGAAAAGAGAAAGGATTGATTTAACTTAACTGCCATCAATGAACTACCACCTCAGGCCCTCCCCACCAGTGACCTCAGTATTCTCCCCTTCTTCAGGGTCCCAAGCGCTACCCCTTTTCACCACTGCTCCCCCAAACCCTAGCCTCTTTCCAAATAGGTCATCTAGACTATGTCCTTCTCTCTGCCAGTGATCTCCCAAGTCCAGACTCTGTCCCATTTTCCCCAGATCTTCCCCTGTCCTTTGAACCTCCAGGTCCTGTTCCATGTTCCATACCCTAAAACGTACTCCTCTACACTCAGCTGCCATTCCTACTTTGTTATTCCTGGCTCCTCCAAGTACCTGAATGTCCCGATAGAATTTTCGCAAGTTGTGCTGTAGCAACAAACACTCAGGGTCCTGGCTGCAGCGGCTACACTCATAGTTCAGTTGGTCCAAGAAGTGGAAGAACAGCATATTAGCCTTGGCCTCATCATTGCCCAGTGCAGCTTCCTGCCTAGGGACCAGGAAGGACAAGGATTAGTATCTCTGCAGGGTTGCTACCATCTTGAGGCCTTCCAACCCCTTCCTGCCCGTGGTGTCTCCAGGATCCTGGGGCTCAGAAGAAAGAAATCATTTTCCTCATCCCCCCAACTTCCTGAAGGCCTCACCAGTTCTGATCTTCAATCCAGACAGACAAGTTCTGTCGAATGTCCACCGGCAGGAGGCTATTTGAATAGAGCTGGTGCAGCTGATCCTGAAATGGGCTGTCAAGATTCTGCAGCATCTCCCACTGCGCCATTTGGGGTCTGAGCCTAAAGGATGCATGTTCCCAATTGGAAATTTTGCTGGACTAAACCATCCACAGTCTTGTGATTGTTTATCATTACAAATTTTAAAAAATGTTTAATTATTCAGGTAAGAAAAAATACAGAAAAAAAGTAAAGTCTAGATTGACTCCACTCCCAATCTTGGTCCCTTTTCCTCCTCTCCGGAAGTAACCAATATTATCAGTTTGGCGTATATTCTTCCAGGGAGTACTATTTAAGAGCTCCAATATGTAGGCCTTTTTGTTTCAATGGTAATTTTCAAACACACAACAAAGTAGAGTGAGTAGTACAAGGATCATCCATGTACCCATCATCCAGCTTCAACAAACATGTATGATACTTCCGCAATCTCATTTCACCTATCTCCCCCAATGAATTTATTTTAAATTTATTTGTTTGTGTTTGTATTCACTTATGCTGGAGCATTTAAAGGTCAGTCTTAAGTATTTAAAAAAAGGGTTTTTAAAATTATTTATTTATTTTTGGCCACGCCACAGGGCATGCAGGATTTTAGTTCCCCCACCCGGGATTGAACCCACTGCAGTGGAAGAGTGGAGTCTTAACCACTAGACCACCAGGGAAGTCTCAGTCTTAAGTATTTATTTCAGCATTATCCCGGCTGGCCCCAAAGCTTTATCAGAGGCTGAACCTCCTTGGAGATAAACTGCTCTCCATGTTGGAAGGAGGAGCTCCATTCTCTACAAGATGTTTAAGTTATTTAAATACTGTGTAAGGGGTCATTCAATCCCTAAGACTGTGACACTTTTATGACTTCTGTCAATCTCTGATTCTTCATGTGGATTATTAAGTTCATGAGAAAATGCACTCAAAACTTGTTCTTGCCTGCCACCAAGCAGGCTGGGTGGAGCCCTTCTCCCTACCTTTCCCCGCCCACTGCCATCTGTCTGTTTAGGAAATCAAAACTTCTTGCAGCCTGAACCTAACAAAAAAGAATTAACACCCACGTCTGTGGTCTAAAAAAAGGTCACATGATTTTATTACAAATCAAATGCTTGGGGTGGGAAAGATTCTTTTCCACCAGTACAAATAATCACGAGCTGCCTTTCTACCTCTGGGAAGTAGGAACAAGGGAAGTAAAGAATTGGGCAGGGGCTCCTACTTTTCACTTTAACCCTTTAGTAGTGCTTGACTTTTTACACTATGTACTTGTATTGCTTTTAAAAAACAAACGACGAGGCCCCAGCTCCTAAGGAACTAATTGGCTGGTATTAATAAAGCAAAGCGGCAAGTAAACCCTGAGGTTTAAATACGAAAAACAAAACCAAAAAACCTGGCCTTCTTAAATAGGTTGCAAGCACGGAGGTTAAGGGCTGTAAACTCCTTTCTTCTCCAGTTATCCAACACTCTTTTAGGTGCGTATTTTGTGCTCAATAAGCTTTTCTGAAAAGAACTCTATTTTTTTCTTTCTTTTTTTTGGTAAGAATCAAAAATAACAGACCGGAAGGTAAAAGCGTTGGCCAAGACACTGAACCAATGCAACAATGCCAGGTTTCGGGTCTTGGAAGTTGCAGGGGCGTTTCTGGAGGGCGGGGTGCGTTACGGTTGGGGACCTAGGTTGGACAGGAGGATGAAGGAGGCGACAGCTCCTGTTTCAACCTGGGGACAGAGTCTGAACCCTGCGGGGCGTACCGCCCAGGGACTGCCTGCCCTCTCAGAGAGAAACTCGCGCCTCCACCCCCACCCCCACGCACCTTCTCAGGGCCGGTACCTGGTTAGAGTCTCAGCCCCCGCTCCCTCCAGTAGCTGTGCTCCAGGCTTCCGGTCCCCAAAGAGAGCTCTGGCACCAGGGCCTCCCGCGCCGCCCTCGGCTTCCGCCCGCCTCTCGAACCCGCTCCCTTGCCACAGGCTTGAGTGAGCGGCTGAACCCCGGAGCTCGCTATTCCCATAGAGGCGCCCCGACACTGGCTGCCATTCAGCCAACCTCTTCTCCAGGCTGTGAGTTCATTGGCGCCACCACAACTCCTCCTTCTCCGCGAGGCGGGACAAGCGGAGCCGAAACCGCACCTCTAACTGCAGCGATTGGTAGGAAAGCTCAAGTAAGCCCTGCCCCGTATCTGCGGAGGGAGGAATCCAATGAACAGAAGAGCTCAGGAGTGAAACAGCTGATTTCCGAGAACCCGCACCTACGCAGCGGAACCGAGACTGGCTCAGGACCTTGGAGGCGCTGAGCTAACAAGCGAGGCGGAACTTCGACATATTGGGACAGGAAGGGGAGGGCTTAAGTAATAACAACAAAAACAACAAAAGCCTATTTATTGTTGGTACCGTGCTAAGCATTAGGACACCGTACCGTTTTTAATTTCCACGAAACCCATTGCAAATCATTATTCTTTAGAAATTTAAAAAACTGAGTTTGGAGAAAGAAAGTACTAGTCAATGGTCGCTGAAGCTCTAACAAGTGGAGCCTGGATTCAAAGCCAAATCCTCTGATTCCAAACCACAAACTTGAAAATTTCTACATTTTACAGTACTGCCTTCCTCCTTGATAAAAAAAATCAGAGATTTGGATTTTGAACACACACGTACAACTTGTCAGAATATTAGATCTAGCCATCATGTTTACCACTTTTTTTTTTTTTTTTTGGCTGCACTGCGCTGGCATGCAGGATCTTAGTTTCCCCACCAGGGATCAAACCCGCACCCCCTGCAGTGGAAGTGTGGATTCTTAACCACTGGGCCGCCAGGGAAGTCCCACCACCTTCTTTTATAATTGATTGATTGTTTGATTGATTGATTGCTGCGCAGCTTACGGGGATCTTAGCTCCCCGACCAGGGATTGAACCTGGCCCCTTGGGCAGTGAAAGAGTGGAGTCCTAACCACTGGACAGCCAAGGAATTCCATACCACCTTCTTTTATATCTCAGTAGTATTCCCATCCCTAGGGTCTAAGCCATAGTCATAGAGTAAGGCCCACTGCCAGTAAGGAACTGAACTTACTACTGATACCAAAGGGGCCATGGTAGTTGTTTCTTCCAGGTGACTCAATTTGAGGTGCCCCCCAAGACCTCCTTGCTGGTCTCTGGTGGAGGGCTGTTCACCTCTCTCTCATTATAATACTGGATCACCTGCTGAACCCCAGACTTCACTATAGGTTTAAGTGCAGTACTGATCATTACTCCCGTGGGCCCCCCTGACAATCCAGCCATGGCCATCAGAAGTTCATAACCCAGATCTATGACCCCGTCTCGGCCTCGTTCCTTGGCCTTGTCCGAGCAGTTCTGAACAGCATAATACAATGCTGTGCCCAGGTTGTAGAAGGTTCCCACTCCTGGCAACAGCTGGACGACATTGTGCACACTCTGCTCCTGCTCCTGCTCACAGTCCTTGATGGAGAGGGATCGTCGGGCCCTCTCTGGGTCTGGGTGCTCCCTGGCCAACAGCTGCAGAGCAGAGGCCAGGGCATCCACTGACACTCCCGTCCCTGTGCTTCTGCTTTTCTCGAGTTCTTGAAGATGTCTGATGAGGATCTGTGTCGCCTTTACACTCCCCTGGCGGTAGAGCTGAAGCTGCAGGACCCGTACATCAGCTTGACAGCCAGCGTTCTCCAAGGCAATCATCAGGGGCAGGCCTACCAGGAACTTGGGGAGAAGGGCCATGTGGGTGAAGCCAGGCAGGGATTTGGGGAGCAGGGCCCGGCAAGACAATGGGGCTGAGGAAGGTAGCCAGGATCCCAAGGATGAGTGAAGGTGCACCAAGACGTTTGTCTGGTTTCCATATGAAATGGCATCCACAGCGTGCAGCAGGAAGCAGCAAAGAAGTAGCTCAGCTGGTACCATGATGAGTCTGAGACCACGCATGTCCAGAGCAGAGTGCACTGGAGACGGGAGAAACCAGAAACATACAAACCGTTTCCGTCAGGACTGTGGTCCAAAAGGAGCCCAGGACTCAGGGAGAACCTCATCTATCACCTCCAAACTTCTGTTCTTTTTAGCTAAAGGACTGAGAAACAGGAAATGCAACCCAATTGTTCCCTCTTGGCCTTCTCCATCTTCAGGTCTTCCTCTGCCTGATTTCCACCCATTTAATAGGGAGCCCCAAATTACCACAAAGTCTGGTGATTAAGAAGTAAGACGGCTTTGATAGATTTGGTAGCTCCTCGATCCCGTTCTGCCTACTGCTCTGTCGGGCGAAGAAAGTAGATATTGGCTTTCCCCTATTATCAGTAAGAGATGTAATCTCTGCAAATATTTGTCCATTTGTACTGGCTTCTCAAACCTTGTCCCCTTGTCACACACTGGACCTCAATACCTAAAAACTTTGTTCTTTGGCATTTCCTGCCGGTCCCTGTCACTTTCACACTCTAGCTCATGATAGAAGCTGGGAAACCCAGAATCAGAAGAGGTTAGATGTCTATGATTCTCTTTTCAGTTTAAAAATTAAATTAGCAAAAAAAAATTAAATTAGCAAGATTCAGTGTCTCATTGGAGATTTAGTACAAGGTAGATGAATGAGAAAAAAGTTAAAATGCTACTACGTGTTTCTATTCTGTAGTTTTGGCCTTATTTTTAACTTCCCTTTCCAAAGATAGAAATAACGTTATGCAGCCCATAAGAATCTGCTGGACTCATCCATTGTGGATAACAATTGTTTATCCATCAGCTGTTCTCTATGCTGAGAGAGATTTAGCTCCAGTATAATCCACCCAACTTCCACTTGTTTCTTTTACTAATCCAGTCGTTCTAATGGATATAATAATGGATCACAGATTTGTGATATCATTGCTTAGCCATTTTTATTAGTTAACAGTAAGTGTCTTTAAGCTTTCATCAGATTGTAAATGTTCTGAACATTTGAAGTTTCCTTGAATTATAAATGTAATTATCAATAAAAAAATCAATCTGTCTATCTATGTATCTATTTCTCTGTCTTTCTATCTAGCTAATGTATTCAATAGCACACTTTTCAACATGTGGAGGGAAATATGAGGGACTGGAGAATAGAAAGAATATGATGAAGTTTCTTTGCGTGCATTCCAAAGATAAAATTATCATTATTTAAAAGAGGAGAATAGAAAAACAAACGAACAAAGAAACAAAATGGGCATAGAGAAGTGTAAGCAACCTATCTATTTAGTTTTTAACACTTCATTAGGGCAAGTCAGTTTCAATGGTGACTGGAAATTCATTTGGAGGATTGAAATCATATACCTCCTAGAAGCAATTCAAGATTTCAAAAGAATAATTTCTAAGTCATTTGATCTTTGTAACACTTTGTGCTCCACAACGCATCGACGAAGTTCAGGAAAAAAAGTGTTAGGAACCATTGAGTCCTGTGTTTACTTTTCATAACTTTGATGCTTTTTTGTAATGACTTTGAAGAATGAGAACTTATAAAGAGAGGGTAGTAGGAAAGGGTGGAGTGGAGTTTGATAAGAGCTTGTAAGAGACTATTAGCTTAGCGGGCACAGAGTAGAAATAAGATGATTAGAAATTTTAATAACCTACAATGGAAAAGAATCTAAAAACGGCTATATGTATAAGTATAACTGAATCAGTTTGCTGTACACCTGAAGCTAACAACATTGTAAATCAACTATACGTCAATAAAAATTATAAAAACAGAAAAAGAAAGTTAAAATGCTTCTCGTGCTTAGACATATTACAGGTACAGTATATGGTAACTGAAAGAAAAAATGGAAAATGGAATGTGAAATAAGGACTGAGAGCTACTAAGTGGAGAAAAGCAAGGCTAACACCAGTCACCTGTGTCTTTTAGCACTGGGATGAAATAAAGAGCATACACCTATCCTAAGTGGTGTCCAACATTTCTGCCTACTTACTGTGTCCCATCCTTGAAAGTAGTCCTGGGAAAGCAGACGTGTCACCTAGGTGGCACTGAATATCTGAAGTAAAGAATCTGGACAAGTTCCTGAATCAATTTCCCCATAAAGCACTTCAGAATAACTGTGGAACATTTGATAAATTATATTGTCATCATCCATAGACACTGAGAGGCTCTTAACTTGGGGGTGTCTTCAGCTTTTTACCTAATTCTCCAACATGTTCCCAAGACTCATACCTGCAGTTCTAGGGGATGTTGATAGCAAAAGCTCTGAATTGTGTCACCAGCATCATGGGGGATGGCTTCTCAGCAAACTCAATCGCCATCCAAGCTAACTGGCAAACCAGCCACCCCAGTGGGCATATTTGCCATCGTTAATACATTCCTCAGGGTGAGTAGCTGAGTTTTGGGTTTATCCAAGCCTCCCTGTGGGTCCCCCAAGATCCCTCAGAATGACTTTAGCATTGCCAATGCCTTCTTCCTCATTGTGCTTTTTGCTCTCTCTCATGGATGAGGGTTTAAGTGGTGTCCTTTCCTCCCATCTTAACAAGCTGAAGCTACAGAATGTGGGCCTCAGCTGGGCCGACATCCTCCTCCTGGGCCACCTCCAGAGCTAAGTTGGATAGGTACTCAAGTAGAGGGGCTAAGGATGGGGCCGTACATAAGAGAACCTGGCAGGTCTTGGAATCTGGGAGAGGGATCTGGTTGGAGAGCATGTTCAGAGGATGCCCAGTTTCTATGAAAAACAGCTGGAAAGTCAGAACCCCTTCCTGGGTATTTCTTGGAAAGACAGCCAATGGGGACAGTAAGATGCAGCAAAGGAGAAGTACAGCCTGGATCATGGTGGGTCAGCAGAACAGCCCTGCTGGAAAGAAGCAGTGCTCAGATTGGGAAGTGGGGAAAGGCTTGGGATGAAGAGATACTAAGACTGGTCAGAACTAGGAAGTGTCTTGGCCCTTAGAAACTTTGGTTACCTGGGCATACCTCAGGCCCACTATTAAAGGCTATGGGAGATCCTCACTGTTTTGCGGAAGAAACAAACCAGAGGAACAAGAAAGTCCAAACATCTCCTTTGCTTTGGTATCTTCACGGCTGGAATGACTGTTTTGATTTTTTTTGTTGTATCCCACTTTCTCCTTTGCCCCAGCCAGAATCACGAGGATGCCAGAATGCTGATAGTGTCCAAAACAATGACAGACATAGCATTTGCAAATATTTATTCATCTCTCTCCAGCCCAGACTTTGTCCTCCTCACCTTTGTCCTATACTGACAAATAGGCCTTTTCCCTTTTTGACCCTACTAGTCCTGCCCCATATCCCTATTGTCCTAAGGTTTTACCCTGGACCTACACATGAGATGAGGAGAAGTTCCCCTGTATCTTCTGAAAGGGAGAAGAGGTAAGGCAAAAAGGCTGATGACCATTGGCAAGAGACCCCCAAAACGTTTAATAAGTTCTTATTAAAAGTACACATTGGGTGAAAGTCCAGGGAAACTGAAAATATTGGTAAGTTAAATGAAATGGGTACAACTTCTACTTCTCACTTTTCTAATTCCAATGCAAAACACAAATAAAATGTGTTCATCAGCTGGGTGGTAACTCTTTCCATATCTAACCAAAACTCCAAACATTGGGCTTCATCTAGGGTTTAGCATAACTGCAGTCCAAAAATTAGGGGAAGAAGGTATCTGATGCCTTCTGAAACTGGTACAGGTTCCTACATATTGTTATGGTAAAAAGTTTCTTTGGTGCTGTCACTCATTTCTTTTTTAAAAATTATTTATTTATTTATTTATTTATTTTTGGCTGCGTTGGGTCCTCGTTGCTGCACGCGGGCTTTCTTTTAGTTGCGGCGAGCGGGGGCTACTCTTTGTTGCGGTACGAGGGCTTCTCATTGCGGTGGCTTCTCTTGTTGAGGAGCACGGGCTCTAGGTGCACGGGCTTCAGTAGTTGTGGCGCATGGGCTCAGTAGTTGCTGTCACTCATTTCTGACAGACAACCAAAAGGAACAGGCCAGAGGGAGGGGTCCAGAGTCCTTCCCTCTATTTCACTTCCCTCAGTTCCCAGCAGCGGTCCCTGACAACTAACAGCAGACAGAAGAAAGAAGAGGGGTAGGTCTGTAAGGATGCACTACCAAAATTGTAGGAAGCAAGAACTAGGTGCAAAGCGGTCCAACACTACCTGAAGTTACTGGTTGCTAAATCCCTAGGGAACCCTACCTAGGACTATACCATTTCTGTGGAGTAACATAACAAAGGATAAAATATTTAACCCTTTTTTCCTAAGATCTATCAAAAAGCAGGAATATCTACTCATCACTTTTTCAGCATTGTACTGGAAGTCCTAAGCAGTGTAATGAGGAAATAATAAAAAATTAATCGCATAAAAAATAGAAAGGAAAGTAGAACGGTATTTATTTAGAAACATGATTGTTTATGTAGAAAATCCTAATTTTTTGAGGAACTTCCATACTGTTTTTTACAGTGGCTGCACCAGTTTACATTCCCACCAAGGAAACTAATATAATATGTCAATTACATCTCAATAAAAAGAATAAATGAAAGTGGGGATATTACTATTTGTTTTACGGAAACAAAAAGGATTTTGAGAGTACTATGAATAGGTGTATGACAATAAATTGGATAATCTAGATGAAATAGACAAATTCTTAGAAACATACAACCCACCAAGACTGAATCATGAAGTAATAGAAAATATGAATAGACCTATAATTAGTAAGGAGATTGAGTCAGTAATCAAAAATTTCCCAATAAAGAAAAGCCCTGGACAAAACAGTCTTATTGGTGAATTCTACCAAACATTTGTGGGGTTTTTTAGTTTAGTTTTTATTTTTTATATTCTTTTTTTTCCTACCAAACATTTGAAGAAGAATTAATACCAGTCCTTCTCAGACTCTTCTAAAATATCAAAGAGGAGGGAACATGTCTAGCTAATTCTACGAGACCAGCATTACCCTGATATCAAAGCTAGACAATGACCCTACAAGGAAAGAAAACTACAGACCTATACCTCATGAGAATATTAATGCAAAATACTAGCAAATTGAATTTGGTAGCATATTAAAAGGATTATACACCATGGCAAAGTGGGATTTATTTCTAGAATGTAAGAGTGGTTCAATATATGAAAATCAATCAGTGTAATTCACCACATTAACAGAATGAAAGAGAAAAATCGCATGATCATCTCAATTGATATAGAAAAGCATTTTACATCAATAAAATAGAAATAGGAAGAAACTATCTTAATAGTAAAGGTTATAAATGAAAAACCCACAGCTAACATCATATTCAATGGTAAAAGACTGAAAGCTTTTCC